ACCATCAGTGTCTTAACCCTATCCGTTCGTCGTGTTTTACTATTGTGTCCATGCGTCGAGGGGAATTCTGTGCCCCCACTTTCCAAAGAGAAAATTTACTCGTTAATCCAATTCGTACGCTTTGCATAGCAGTCTGTCAAAATATTTTTTTGAGAAATACTGAAAGTTTCAAAGAGATCTTCGTGCTAGAAGTATTCTAAAATGTGAAGAATAAAACCCCGGGGGTACAAAATGACAACTGGACGAACGGATAGGGTTAAGGCCCCAGTACTGGAGACAACGGGGTGGGTTTGAGTACAACAATCCGGCATCGTGGTGAAATCAGGCGCTCGTCAAGAGAATGAAATCGAACAAATCGATATTTTTCTGTCACAGGGACAATTTTCATTGATTTTTTTTTTCCACCAAGACCTTTTAAGTAAATTTTGAAATACATATCTGTGTGTATTTCACCGATAAACATAGATCAAAGGCAACGAATGTGTAAATCTGCAGTTTTCAAGGACACTCAAGTTTTGGAAGTCGCCAAATTTAGGTGGCCACTTTCTCGTTAATTTTATCTCAGACACCAGGAAACGACCACCAGCCACCTTCAATTGCAAATATTTTGACGTCTATTCGAGATGGAAGGGGATTATTTTTTCATCGAAAGCAAGGAAAATGAACAAGCGTTAAGATGATACCAATAATTCCACATTTTGCCGAGCGACTGATTCCACCGTGTCGGGTACGTTCTCACGAAAAACTAATCACAAAACGTCTTTTTGTATTCAAGTGAGGGGTTCAGGATTGACGTTTTTTAAATAACAGGCACGACCTCAGTGCTTTCTTGTTGTATTTCCATGTTTTTCAACAGTGAAAATGTGACATCTTCTTAAGCTCATTTTTTTTCTCTATGAACTGTTGTCAATGCTACTAAAAATGGAGATACGACAAGAAAGCACAGGGGTGGAGAGAGGCAGGTGAATAAGTGACGGAGTAAATGGAGCCGTATTGTTCAGAGAGAGTTTCTGAACAAAAGAACAGGGTGTCCATGTGTGATCAACACTAGAGGTACAGACTAGAATCTATTGTTTTCTTCTTTTTTTTTCGTTTCACTTTCATATGAAAAGAATGTGCTTGAAGCATTAGATACCGTCAACAAGAGAGAAAGAAAGAGTTATAGATGAACAGATGGCTTGAGAGGGAGAGTGAGAGAACGAAGAAGACAGAGTGGAGTGGGGGAGAAGGGGCGGTGAAGGAGAGGAATACAGAAAACACATCCAAGAATAATTAGAGCTGGGCACATGCTCAGGTGGCAAAAGGGCTGAGCTTTTTTTGGCCATCTTCATTCAGCAGCTGAGGCGGCAGCGGGAATTTTTCCCTTCTGTCTGTCATGTTGGGAGTAGAGAGGGGAATTTCTTCTTTTTCTTATATCTTTAGAGGTTACCACACAATCCTGTCTCATATGGCAGCCCCCCCCCTTCCCGTAAAAAACCCAAATCCTTTACACACCCACGCTTTCCTGTGTAAAGGAATGGGATGGGTCGAGGAAAAAAGGAAGGGTAGAGGTGGTTGTGGTGCCGTATACGTTTTGATTGTGAGGAAAGAAGGAGAGAAAGATACGTGGTTTTGGAGGAAGTGGGAGGAAGGGAGGGGGGTAGGGAAGCTAAAGATGAATGAGGAAAGAGGAG